GTAATCAGGACTCTTGAAAACATATTTGTACTACCAATGTGGCTATTTGGTTTTTAACTTTTTTTATGCATTAAAAACACATTGCTTCAAAACTTAAGTTCACTGAGCCTGGTTCTGCTGGAGGTTTCTTCCTGTTCAAAGGGAGTTTTTCCTCTCCACTGTCGCTGCAAGCATGTTTAATGTGATGGATTGCTGAAGAGTCAATGAGTCGATGCAATCAACTGGTTTTCCTTAGATAGAAAACTTTGAATCAATCAATGTGAATCAATGTGAACTGGGTGCTATAGAAATAAACTGAATTGACTTTAAATACTAAATCCGAAAAAAGGAGGTCTGGAAACATCCAGGGTTAAGGGTCTTCCCTCTGATCCAGGGGCCTGGATCAGAACCGGTTTAAAGGTGATGTAGAGTAGATGCATCTCTTCTCCAACATCTGAACCAGATGCCTGGATCATTGCAGAGCTGATAACCGAATGCTCATGAAGGGAATTTAACCGTTTCCTTCAGCTGTTGGAGCAGGGCTGAGAGTAACTCTGGGACCGGATCTGGACGTCCCAGATAAAAACGGAACGGAGGTGGCCGAACCTGTTCATGGTAAAATAAACAGGAAAACTCACTTCAGTCTGTTTTGTTCATGTGAGCTGGGAGGAGTCTCCCTCCACCCTTTGATAAAACAAACCTAATCTGTGGCTTAGTGATCCTGTAAACTGACATCCTCTTCCTCAGCGTAACCTTCATTCATGACTCTCTCAGTAAGGAATCCTTTCTGAAACTCTGCTACAGTCTAACTTCCAGTTCCCTGATTATTCAAAGATATTTAAACTCTGAAACAATGAGAAGGATGCTAAATGGGTGAAAGGACTGAAGCAGATGTTTGGATTCTGCTACCAGCCAGCAATGAGATTTATGAGCATCAATAAGAGTCTGAGATCATTTCTGATGAGTGAGGATGGGAGAGGATTTCATTTTAACTTGAAACATTTTGTTTTTTTTAATGAAAGCAGGTTTCAAACCGTTACGTCTTAGTTTATTACCAACAGTAACCATGGAAACGGTGGTTCCATGGTTACTGTTGGTAATAAAGCAGCTCATCCCGCGTAGTTTCGAGGCAGAGCTATCTCTATAGTTATGCTGCTATAGGCTTAGACTGCTGGAAGACATAGGGACCCCTTTTTCATCATTCTGCTTCATTCTATCTCTATTCTCCCACTCTGCAGAATCTTGTTAGTTCAATCTCTTACATTCTGCTCTCTCTGCTTTTTCTCATAGTAGCTTCATCTGG